AACGAGAAGCAAATTCAAGCACAAAATATCTGGAAAGGTAGCAGTTCTCTGAAAGGCTGGAACAAGCTGTAACGAATCCAAATGCAGTCTACAATCTATAATCTAGTGAGATCATGATTTACCACTAATTTTTATGTTCGCCGCATTAACAGTCCATAGGGGACAAGTATGCGAACTTATTGATGTTATCAAAGATTTGCTGCTAAATATGATTGTAGAAGTGAAATCGAACTTCTCAATGATAGAAAAGAGACTGGATTCGATTTGGGGGCAGCATTCAAAAACTCTTTGACTGACCCCAGTAGCATTTTGACGACGATAACCACATGACACACCAAAATTAACATTGTACTTAGTATAGAGCTAAGGCATTTAAGAAACGTCGCTCTCTAAACCACTGGACAATCAGGCCTATGATGTATGATTTTCTTTTATTTTAACAGCAGTGTTAAGTTATCTGTCACTGTTTATTCTATACGTCAAAATAGAGACGGAAACCGATGTTGAGCCTTAATACAGCCGTTTTAAATTACAGGACAGGATACATCATAGGCCTGAATGTCGTCTTTGTGTTGCGCAGGACTTTAGTTAAACTACGATGTTGTGACAACGTTTACGCAACCGACTATAATGAGTTAAAATTTTGGGAAAAGGAATAACGTTCTGACAACGTTCAGATGGCAACTTAAGTTATTTTAAACGTTTTTTCGACAGGGATCCGACCTTGTAAGATTTAACTAAGTAGTAGGCAGTTTTTCAGTTAAATTGAAATGTTTCCGCGCGGAGTCACCGTTGAAAGGGTGAATGGTTTTCAAATACAACCGCAAAATAAAAAAGTCGTTCAAGACCATCAGATCATCAGTTTCAAATTGAAAATGAAACGAGCCTTGAGCCTTCAGATACACTGCCTCATAATATAGAAAAAAAAGAGTATGTCGTGAAGAAAATTCAGGGGCGTAAGCCAACATGAAGACAGACAAATTCTAGAACTTAAGTTTAAATTCTTCACGCACAAATGCCAACCCGAGGGCGAATCTGAATGAAGAAATAATATTAGTGGGAAGCTAGTAATTTTCCAGAGGACCAACAGTTGATGTAGGATAAACATCTCGAATGGAACCGAAGAACAAACTCAACAATGAAGGAGAGATCAAAATTGTCTTTGACTAGAGGAAGAAATACATAGAAAGAAATAATAATAACTGAACTGAGTTCAATTTTTGGTCCGATAAGCAACTCCAGTCATGCCTCGAGGAAAAAGTTAGTTATCTGGCAGACTAACGTTAAAAGTTAGTATATTTTTTAGTTATCTGATATCCAAAGTCACGTTGACGCCTATTATACTCCTTAAGTTGAAAGAAAGTGTCCATTTTGACCATCAGTGAATATTTGGTAAAAAAGTAAACTCTCATCGCCATGAGAGAGGGCGCAGGTGTGTAGTTGTTTAAAAGTGAATTCAACAACGTTCAGGAAACGACCAACTGCTACCCACAGTTAAAACTGCAACGTTTTAAAAACCCAGAAATGATTGACCAAATTGATGCAAAACAAAGTTGTGACAACGTTGTGTTAAGGTCGTTTACGCAACTTATGTTTGGTTGCGCAACTTTTTCAAACACGTCGCCGCAACTTTAAATTGCTGCTTGGGATTAGGAACAAATTTCAAGATACCTTTCATCGCACATGACATGAAAAAGGAACATAAAGATAACCATCTTGGACAATTTCAAAGAGGGTTTCTCTGAAAAAATTAGCACAGCATTTGAAGCAGATACCTACTCTATACTTTTTATATCTCTGAAAGCTGATGTCGCTGCACTATACTGGTTCATCATTATCACACAGGTTTCCCTTTTCTGAGCAGTCGCAATTCAATTCGTCTTGATCCTTTTCAAAACACTAGGCCATACTGTACAGCCGGACCATAAAACACGTAATTAGTGTCACTACTGTCACTTCAACATTAATGTCGAAATACTCGACACTTCGACAATATCTAAAGTCGAAGAGGGTTATTTTCTTATATGCTCTTGCGCTTCCTAGTTTAACAAAATAGTAAAATTCTGAAATTTCCTATTTAAAAAAGTTTGAGCGTGTAACGTCACATTTAGTGTTTTAAATATCTAATTTTAACACTGAAAATGTTTCTGTTATCCTAGTATGGGGGCCCAATCGCGACAAAGTGCACGATACATTTGCCACATGACGTCACACGTCACATCATCAATCAAAATCCATTTTTATCATAATCTAAATAACACAAACTTTGCATTTTACTTCATCATTTTCAATGTTCGCCCGGTTGCATTCAGTGATAATTGTTGAATTTTTTCAAATGCCGCCTTTCTTTAAATTTATATAGGACAAAAATGTTTAGGAGTGTTTTGAAGGGTTTACTGGTAGCTTGAAAAATAGATATTCACTTCCTCTCATTTTCAAAAAAAAGGTACCAAAAAGAAGAGGAGAACTCGAAATAATTCTCTTTGTTCTGCAAGCGATCCTTGAGGCAAGTCCATTTTTCCAAAGGAGCCAATCCTTTACGCCTGCTCCTTATTTTTCATACTCAACAGAAGCACATCATAGGCTTAAACCAGTAATGTTACATACTACAGGGTCCACCTAAAAAAGACAGACTGCACAAAGTTCTCAAATGTAAATCATCGTAGATAATGGACCGCTACCAGTGGTGTACGAACCCGCTGAAAATAAAACAAACGCGTCTAAAGAGTAATAAATATTCATGAGAGTAGGCAAAAATGTCCGAGGATGCAAGAAAAAACACCCCCCGAAAAAAAAAAATTAGCGCACGTTGGCTCTATTAGCGCACCCCCATATATAAACATTATATGATTTAATGTCTCGTGTATAACGTGTCGTACCGAGAGAGCGCGGTTGTTTATTATTATGAGGCCCGTAAAGGGCGGCAAATTTTTATCTCGTTTTTGTCCAGGAACTTTGTGTGTTTTGTCTGTATAGGTATTTACTAATGAAATGCATGCAGGGTTTTTTTTTTGTGGGTCATATTATTTTACTTGATCATCTTCAGATGAGGCTAATTCAATAGTTTTTGGTATTCCTGGATCCTTGAAGTAAGATTTAATTCATAAAGCTATGGGCATGTGGTGCACAATATCCTACTGGTACTTGTGTAATTTGATTATATGTATTCGAAGTAGTGTAGTAGAAGTCACAAGAGCCATTCAAACTTTATATAATACATTGGAATGTGACTAAAGCAAAAGTTCCTGGACCTTTTTTTAAGTGCTTTTAACAATTAGCCGAAAAATTTCTAAAAGGATCAATAAATCATGCACGAGCCTATATGATGATACCCACTCAACAAACCACTTAATTAAAAGGGGACCAAATACACTAATTGATCGGATGATTCAACCACGGAAAATCGAGGTCAGAAACAATACAGAAATTCAAGACAATGGAGGGACCAATGATATAAAAAGGCAACTTTGGCAGGAGAAAACCAGTGTTCGAGAAAACCAATGTTCGTAGAAGACCAGTATCGGTTGAGTAATCAAGAAACAAGTAGTAATCGACAATCGAAAGACCTGTGTTCAGAAAGTCAGAACTACGGCGTGAAAGAGTTGCCGAATTAACCGAGAGAAGAAGCACGACGTGAAATAACAGCGCGAAAATATTCGAGATTTTTTATCAAGTGTTCATAATTAAAGTAAATTCCTTCGACCAATAAGATTTCCATGTTATTAGGTGTGGCCAGCAGTAAATATATTATTGTTAAATGTAAGTAGAGTTTTTTTTTTGTTCAGCCAGAAATTGTAAAGGCAAGAGTGTGAATCGAGTCAAACTGTAAATAAAAATTTTCACTTGGAATCATATAAATTGTCCTTAACAGTTAATTGATGTTTATTAGAAATCTAGCAAATTTATTGTAAGATTATTTACTACCGACGCCTGTTAATTAATAACAAGCATTTTTCATTTTAATAAAATAAACTTTATTTCAATTGACCACCATATTTCTGTGTTTTACTCTCTACCTGCAAATTGGACCCTCTTTAAACTGTGTCTCCACTCAGAAACGAAAGTCACCGCTCGACAATTTAACATCTTGCCATCAGTTTCTGAATTTGGGGTCTCACAGCTATTTTCGGTCGTCTTTTCATTTAGTGTTCTTATTAGCTCTGTTCCAGCCGACATGAGAACCGTTCCAGAACCAGTAATTTCCAGTTGCCCACCTATTTTTCAATAAGTTGAACATTTATCCTACTTGACAAATGAATTGATCGACTGGAAATTACCGTTCTAGAACAGTTCTGAATCTGATGTCGGTTGGAACAGAGCGTTAAGATGTTTTATAGTGCCGTAGCTCTTTCTATAGCCTGTTTGTTCTCTAGGTTAATAATCATCGAATTTCCTTTTTAGGCGGTCGGTGATTATTTTCATTAAGAGTTTGTATATCTGAGACAGGAAGGAGGCTTATGGGTCTATAGTTTCCAAGATTTGATTGGTCTCCTTTTTTGTATGTCAAAACGACGATGCCAGTCTCAAATGTATTACCTCTAGTAAAAACGGCAACTCAAAGCTATTACCTACCAAACTTCTGAGGACTAAAGTGGTAACTTATGAATTAAGGTTTCTCTTATAAGCATTAGAAAATAAAACAAGCTCAATCACAAAATGAAAACTCGATAATTAATAATCCAGCAGCGTAAAATATTCAAATTAGCGACTTCTTGGAGGCAGCCGCTTTACAAAACCCAAACAAAATTGTTTGTACCGAGGAATGGTCATTAATCAAGGCCCCAAACCAAAAAGGCCGAAATATTAGAGGCACATCGCTCTTAAGCTTTGTGTCAGTCTAAAACGGGTGCACCCTATATTGCTTTTCTCTCTGGTCAAAGTTTAGTGATTTATACTTTGAAGTCAGAGAGCACAATTAGAGGCTCGAAAATGACATTGACATTATTACTATTATCATTATTGAATAGCATCCCAAATACTTTTAAAAATCTCCTACTTACCATCATTGAGCCTATTTCTTCCAATTCCTAAATGTCGCAAAGATTTTGGTGCTTTTTTGACGAAAGTACTTAAATTATCAATAAAATTATCAAAAAGCTCTAAAAATTCTAAATTCCTTGGTAGAAACTTTCCAGGTATGTCTCTAATGTAATTTCCACATAAAGATAGGAATTTGAGATGTTCAAATTTTTTCAAACAATCGTCTATTTTCTTCACCTGAAAAAACAATAATGTTAAGAAATTACATCGAAAGCACGGCCAAATTCTGAGAATCTAGTTGTTTACGTCTAAATCTAGTGCGACTGTAAATATATTCTATTTAACTGTTGACAGAGGAACTGGTCCCAACTATCGATGACAAAATCCCTTAGTACTAAAAGTTAATTCCTTACAAAAATGCAATCCAATCTAAGGTTCCTAATTTTACTCTCCAAAAACTTCAAGTTAATTTCCACCCCATTGGTAACAGCTTTTTCAACTAATCCATAACAATCATCAATAAAACAGTTTCTTGTGTTGATAATCTTGACATCTTGTTTACTATACCGTCTCAACTCCCAGTTTAATATTTGCCATTTATTGTCGTTATTTAAAAAATCTTGAATATCGTTAGGATTCAGTTCTTTGAGAAAAGAGCCCAAAAATGATCTGCTCAACCTGTATAATAAAGCCGACCTCAAAGGGATGCTTAATGGTTCGATTTTTCTAAGGATTTTTTCTTTTCTCTTGAAGATTTTTTCCTCACTGGTCCAGTGGTGAACGTTTAAGTTTTTCGGGCTAGGGATTTCGCTAGTTGGTCTAGTTTCGTCCATAGTATTTTACATGAAATTTCGACACTAGAAAATTTATTACAAATTAAAATGTCAGAGGGTATATTTTGTAGCCTAGGATGTAATGGCACTTTCACAGTATTCTAATTATTTATTTACATTTACAAACAAATGTATTTTTTAAATCTGCCAATAGAGGTCACTAATTTCGTCGGATTTGGCTTTCGTCAGCTAGCTATTCTAAAGCCGAATGGCTCGTCAAAACTCAATTCGAGCTCAAACTTGTAGCTTGTAAGAAGCGCCTAAAAAGTGTATGTTAACATCAACATCGTTTGCACTTTTATTCTGATAAATGTTTCATCCGGCAACATCGCACAATGAAATTAGGCAATTCAATCCATCTGTCAGAAAGGAAAATTCAATGTGGCGTGGCGGCCAAGCAAGTTTGTTTTGAATATGTTTTTATGCGTATTTTAAATTATTTTGCATACAGTTTTGCTTACAACTTTGATTTTCATTATTTAATAAAATATTTGTTCACTAGGTACCTAAACTATTAATTCGGGCAGAAACTAGATATTTTTTTGTGTTTTTTGGCACATATATGGCCGCCACGCCATCTTGAATGTCACGTGGTTTGAATTGCCTAATTGCAAAGGAGTATGTCAAGTATAATCTAACATAACCTTAAACGACACTGTGGTGAGTTCGAGTAATATGTAAAGTATTAGTTTGCTCTTTGTCGAATTACACCTTATAAAGAAAGAAGGAACGATTAATTCTGAACTGGCCCCTGAATAAGAATATGACGCAAGCCTGTAACAAACTTGCTTCTCATTGGACGCTCACCTGCAGCCTACAAGCGACGCGTGCAGTCCAGGTAATAGGAGATCGGTCTATTGCGGGTCTATTTTTCCCGGGTCAAGAACTGAACAAGGGACCAGCCTCGGGACCAGCGGAGTACTTGGGCCTGGAATCAAGTTCTCCGAAGCAATGGGAAAACATATTTTAGGCGGAAATAAATGCTATGAGTAGATGTGCTCAGATCAATCTTGACAGAAACTACAAAAAGAGAGATTGTCATATTCTCAGACATGCAGCCATCAAAGCGCTGAGCTCACCAATAATCAGCTCCAGAATGGTTTGGGAATGCCAGGCCCACCTTGGGCGCCAATTTGTTACCCGTCAAACCACGATTGAAAAGTGAATAATAAAATTTGAGGAAAGTGAGATAGTGAACGGGTAACTAAAACAAAAAAAAATAGAAAGATAGGGTTGGTCGGTGGCTAAAATCTAGAAACGGGACTTCGTGTGAAGGGTTGCCGACTAGCTTCCAATGCGGAAAGGGGTGTGGATCAATTAACTAAATAAATATAGAGCGCCACCTGCTTTTCCCTGCAGTACACGAAGTCAACCGATATAATGAAAGCAGGAAACTTCTACGGACCTTTAGCAACACAACCTAAAATATAAAAGTAAACAAGAAGGAAGGACAGAAGTGGAACGCTTTTCTACAATCAGGTACGGGTTTTTAATTAGAACCAGAACAGAATTGATTCTAGAGTAGGTTCGGAGTGGGTTTTCCGAACGCCCTGGAACACTGAAAATTATTAGCACTGGAACCAGAACAAGAACAAAATAAATCGACTAGTAGTACTTTACCTTATGTTCTAAAAATAGTATTCACAATAATTTAACACGTACATTGCCACCATGAGATGACCAAAACCAACCCCTCCAGGCAACACTCCGCTTTTTTGTGTTTCAGATCAGATTAAAGTGTACATATTGAATATTATATGATAAAAAAATACGATAATTATTTTTTTTGGAAATTTTTTATATTTTTTGTGGTGTGACATAATATATGTGCCTCGGTCCTCCAAGTCAATTGGTACATGCCTGACGCCAGGAGGCACATGCGCATTACATTTTTTTTTTTTTTTTGGAGCTATGTATTATTTTGTCAATTATTTGAATATCTGCTGATGTATAAAGAGTGTCATTTTCGACCTTTCTCCTATATTATGTACTTAATATAATTGACGTTTTCAATTAAAAGAGATGGACAATAAAGTATGAAAACAATCATTTTCCCGCCAACATTTGCTTGCTTGTCAATGCCAGTGTGTATTGGGGTGTTTTGAAAGAAAATGTAGGAAAAGTCACTACTTCATTTGCAGAACTTCGCTTTGGAGAAAGCGGTGGATTATTTTGGAAGCAAACAGCTCCCGCAAACTAAACTTGAACGTGGATTACTTTGTATACTTGATGGGCCGTGGATTTCCCTTTTTTTGCGAGTATTCTTTTTGATTTTATGTATCCAAAATTTGACAAATGTAGGATTTGATGGAAACTTATGGAAAGACACGTCCGCCGGTAAATAGGAATTATTTTTACAAAAAGGCACACTACACAATCACTATTGTTAGGAAAAAACTTTGAAAAACCCGAAGAAATAATAGTTTCCAGTTTCCACATGTACAAACGTCTTGTCAACAAACCACTGTCAGCGGCTGTCAACTGTTGTTTTCATACTCTTTTGGCGTCTGACAGTTTGACGCCAGAGAGAGAGGGCTTTAAATTGAAAAGGTCAATTGCTTACTTCTAATATTTCTTTGCAAAACTCAAACAAGAAATTTTTTTCGTGGGGCAACATTTTTTTCTGGCCCATCAGGCCACACAAAATATCGTTTCATATAAATACAGGCGGCCTGTAACACTGCAGCAGCATCACAGACCCATATAGCTTCAAGCTTGATACGTAGTGAGGCACATACGTCGAGTTGCAGTCCCTAAAGGTTATATTTTCTGAGGCACCAACTACGACTCTCATGGCAATGTACGTGTTAACTCAACTTGAGTCCTTAAATAAAGAAGTAAAGAGTATAGGGCAAGTACACGATCTGACAGTTTGACACTATTGACAATCGCCTTGAGGTAAAACAAAGATATAATTTACAGTGTTTTTTAAGTTTTTAGTTAGATTTTTTCAAATAAATACCTTTTGTGTCCTCCAGAAGTTTGTTGGACATGCCTAGAGTTTGTTTAGTTGTCAATTGTGGCAGTATAGCGCAAGGGATACAATATCCTTCCATAGGTTTCCATCAATTTTAAATAACAATGGGAGGTTTGATTTTTTAGTTCAAGAGAGAAGAGAAAAATTGATTAATGTTCTTAAAAGAGAAGGTCTGACAGAAAAATAGATTGAATATAGAGTAACTATACCTATATATTTGTTCTTGTGACACTTGGTTTGATATTGTTTTGGAAAAAACCTGAATTTAATCCATTATAGAAAAACCTAGGAAACTTTTAGATGAAAGACCACATAGACTGGAACACAAACACTCCGTTCTAACTTATTTAAAACAAAATAACACCAAAACTTATGAAAAAGCTGTGAAAACCGCATAAAACATAACCGGCCTAATCTAAAAGAATGTAAATAAATGATTTGTTTTACCTCAGGGCCACTGTCAAACTCATTTGTGACGTCACATGGACATGCCCTATTGTATAACAGCAATATTACCTGAAATATAAATTAATAGACAAGCTTACTAAATGCAGTACCTTCGTAAATGGCCATTTAACCCCATTGTACAAGTATTTTCCTGTATTCAGTGCAGCATGTATTTATGGGATATTAGAGAAATATAGATCATTAATTAAAGTTGAAGTAATAATACATGGCCTGAGGGGCAAATTTAATATTATGGGATAAAATCGGTAATATAGATAAATAATTAAAATTGAAGTACCTAACAATACAAAACCTGAATGACAAGTTTCATATAATAAAGGTAATATAGATAATTAATTAAAATTGAAATAACAACACATAATCTGAAGGGTAATTTAATATTGTAGTAGAACTGCGTTGTTGTGGTGATTTACTCCAACAAGGGGTTGGTAAGGTTTGATAGGCTCCAGATATTAAGACAATACAACACACTTATCAAACCTGAGTAGTCCCTAATTCCTTGAGGAGAACCTGAAGGATTGGATTGATATCTTCCAGTGTTTCCGATGGCCTGGGACTGGATCAGAGCCGCGACAAGAAGCAACTGGCCCTGGGCACTGAAGTTCAGTAATTATAAGTCACTGAAGCTTCCAATTGTCTAGCGGAGGCTGAAGACAGGAGATACGACTTGAAATAGACAGTAAACTTAACGTTTAACTCTTTACTTAAAGTTAAGGACTAAAGCTTGACGGATTAACCATATAATTAACAGAAAACTATGCTTTTATATAGGAAATAGAGACATACAGGGAAGACAAATAAGAAAAATCACTCACCAAAATACTTTGGCCATTAGGAACAAACAATTGATCACGTTGCTGTTTTTCGGCTCACAAAGAAATCCGCGCTTTGGTGCTAAAATAACGGATTAGCCACCCTAGATTTATGAGCGAAAACTGGACAACTCAGAAATCGGCAAAATGTGCCTGAGGAATTTTCCCGAACACTTAATCGTGGAAAGTCCTCGACCTGAATGACCTCTGCTTGTCCCTTCAATGTCCTTTTAAAAGGTCCTGTCAAAACTCCAAGGTGAGAGGTTCTGGGGAATTTTGATGGTAGTTGGGGCATGGGACTTATTTAAATTAAGTTAGTGCCGCTCATTGACCTTATTTGGAGCGCTGTCAATCTAGTCAATCTAATCGGATCAGACAATCAGCTGTTCCCATGTAAATATTGTGATTTTATTTATTAATAAATTAATTGACTATTTATTTAAATCCTACTAAAAGGAAATTAATTCCATTATTCAACCTCTAATGCTTAATTCTGGGAAGAATGAAAAGTTTAATAGTAGATTATACCACGAGTCAATAATGATAGCTATTATTCCCGAGGTATATTTACGAACTGAGCCGCGTTAGCGGCGAGGGAGTAACATTCCGAGGGAATAATAGCCATTATTGCGAGTAGTATACTTTACTTTATTTACGACAAATTAATTTATTTCAAATTTTCTTTCCAAAAACGCTCTTTGTTCATCCATCTCAATACAAATACACAAGCACTACGCGTTTGA